CACGTTTCCAAAATGTTTCCGTTTCCTCTTTTTTAAAGAAAAATCGTTTCTGCGTTTCCTAACATTTCGCTTCCACATTTCCGTTTTCGATTCCATGCAGCTTAGATCATTACCAGTCAACACGGATTATTCACCTCCTTCTCTGCGTTACTCGATATGGAAAGAAGTTAACTCCAGGTTCCACAACTCTGTTGCCAATTCGCCACCAGCTATGCATCGTGTGATTCAAGTGATTACGCATGCGCAGCTCCTTGGTCTCTATTAAATTTATAAAAAAAAAATCTTAAGATACTCTCCTTTCTCTCTGGTGTTTGTGATTTCGAGTCATCTTACTTGCATCAACGTAGCAACCATTTCAACTTCAGCATGCAACTTCAACAGCACTCACAATAATGAGAAATTTCAAAAAATGCCATTTTTCAAGTGCTACTTTACAAAAATGCCACATTTTTACAATTTTTATAAAAATGTCACTTTTTCAAAATTATTTATTCATTATATCATTTATGTTTGGGTTAACTATGTTGTATTATGGTTTAGTTTTGAGGGTTTAAGGGGTTTTAGGGGTCAAAAGATTTTTTAGGATTTTGAATTTTAAGATTTAAGCTCTAAAAAATCATAATTAATATCATTTTTGCAAATGGACATCAAAAATGTCATTTTGCAAATGTGGACACAATAAACCCAATCACTTTTGTGCAACTTTCATAAAATGTACGTAGCATCATCCTCTACGTACTTAAATCTCATTTTTACTCTGTTTTTGTAAGATCAAAAGCTCTGAAAAGCCAAATAATATTCCTTGTACGTACAGTTTAATTTCAGTCAATATATTAACCTTATAAAACCAAAAAAAAAAAGAATAGATGAGCGATCTTTAATTCTGTGGTAGAGAACAGTACTCTGTTGGTTGAGTCATGAGACTTCAATTACTTGTGCGAATGAGTTGTGCTACTTGTAAGAAAACAGTACTCGGCTGGCTTTGAAACTCGACTTTTGGTTTATCAAATACAAAAAAAAAGAGAGATAAAAGCAATCAAGAACATTATGAATGATGAAAAAATCAACTTTATTTAAAACTCTACTTATAAAAAGTATGTACTAGTTCATCTAGTTTTCACATGGCAACTCGAAACGACACAATGGACAAACATGGCTGGTGGCAAACCACTGGAGGATACATCTATCGTCAAACTCGTGTCCACATGGTAAGGTCACGACTCTTTCTCCCATTTTAAACTCATCCAAACAAATCGTACACATGTCAAAGGAGCTGGTGGTCGTCTTCTTGTATATTTTCCTTGATAAAGACTCAACCGCAAACTCCCTTGCCGGTCTAAACCGGACAATATCAATGGTGCTCATCTCATCAAAGGAGACTTGCATATCCTCCTCCGGTGTCGCCACTTCCAATGTAGGACTGACCTTAAAGGTAACATATAATAACAAAGCACAATGTTCTGGAGAATAGTTAACAGAGTAAAAGATGGCATCATTGACATGTTCAGGGAATTGCGACCTCACACAAAGAATCTGATAGAGATTGAGACGTTCTTCGTCAACTAAGCAATTCAGTTGGTCCCATCTATAACGCACGTAATTATCCAACTATTCTTTGGCAGGCAAGAAGAAATCTATTATGGGATCTAATAAAGTTTCCGACAATTGGATACTCACATAGACTTTAATTCTGCATGTGTCTTCGGGTTTAGGATTGTGGTCGATTTCATGGTTGTATGATACGTCGTCGGTATCGAACATATCGTCGACGAAGACATCGTCGGTATCGAACATATCGTCGATGAAGACATCGTCGAAGTCCATTGAAACCATTAGTAATTCTTCGAGTTCCGCCATTACCAAAAGAAAAGAATACGAGGCACACTGTATGGTACTTTTAGGGTTTCTTTTGCTTGTTCTCTCTTTTAAAATGGGAATTTGAGATTTTTTTTTTTTTAATAATTGGATTGTTTTGATGTTGTCAATAACGTTGTTTCCTTTGTTCGGTTATTATTTAATTTTTCTTTTCTTTCTTAATATTTACATATACATCGAATAGCTATATATTTTCACTGATCACAGCATCTCTAAAAGTTTCACTGAACAGTGAACACTTAAGAATGAGCAAATT